AATGTTTATTTTGATTCTCTTTCTGTATTTCTGCTCATGATTGACATGATAGTACTTATCCATCCACATCATAGTAGAACTGTGAATGTTAATTAATTAATGTCTGTAACATAGTTATGTTATCCTCTCCCATTAATGATGTAAGTGGATAATAACAAGTCCCCATAAAAATATGCAAAGAAATATACAAACTAGCTGAAAGCCCTGGTTGTCACTATAATACAGGTGGAAATAATTTGCCGAGGACTTAAAAACTGGCACTGTTCTGAACAAATAGTCCATCATGTCCCATCAGCTATTCTAGGCTTCAAAGGACAGAGGGGCAGCATGATGATTCTGGAATCCTTTTACACGTGTAAAACATAGCAGACACTATTCTTCTTAAAAACAAAAATAAACAAACAAAACAATCTTTCCTTTCCTCCCCTAATTCAGTATTTCACACTTTATGGTCTTCTGGAAACCTGACTGATTTGAGTTCTTCTAAACAAGTAGTCGAATAAACTTACTTCTGTTGTATATGCAGGAATGAATAGAAACCTACCTTTCTCTGAATCAGCTGTCCCTGAAAGGACAGAAAATATACACTCAAATAAATGCATAGCCTTCTTCTTGTTGCAAAGCAGGCTTCTTCTAACCATGGCCTTCGTGTATAGCCCATCCAGCCACACAAAGCAGCTCGCAGAAAATGTAGGCCTCTGACACACTTTGAGAAAGCATAACTTGTAAGCACACAATGCAGTTGTCTGTGAACGGAATTTGACCTTACAGGCATCCTGAGACTCAGAGGCACCAGACAACAGGGAGGTGCGCATGACTAGATAGCACCTAGCTTCAGTTACAGATAAGCCTCGTTTGACCATAGCTTGACCGGTCTTAGAGGCAAGAGAAAAAGAAAACATAGGGTAATAAAACACAACTGTCTCATACTAACCATGCCCCATCTAGTCCTGTCCACGAGGGGATCACGCATACATCACGAAAACTCCTATAGGGAAGTATTGTCATACTACCTCATCACTAGCCTATCAGGCCCTGCCAAATGCAGACCTTAGCATGGCATTAGACATCAAATTTTTGTATAAAATACCCTCAACCCTTTTGTTTGACGGAGATTCCGTGTATTGAGGGCACGTGTCTTTTTTGGCCGGACTAAAGGATTGATCACCCTAAGGCTGCCTCCCCACCCTTCGAGTCAAAGATAGGGGTGCACGAGTCCTGAGCATGCTCCGAGTTCTAGTGTCTTTGTGTTGTTATCGTTGCTGGATTTGAAAGTATTGCTTAAATGTATTGGTTATTGGTTTAATTAATAGTTAAATTGTGTTAATTTCACTGTGTAATTCTGTAAAGTGTATCTAAGTTCTGTTAACCACACTGTGTAAATTGTATAATCCTGTGTTGTGTAGTAGTGTTGTATTTAGGCTAAGTATAAGTGTTAGACATAGAAGCCCAGGAGTTGTTCAGTTGTAAAAGTAGATTTATGATTAACTCCACCAGCTGCCCTAAAATGACCATAGAGGGACTGGCTTTGGACGGAGTTTTTATTATCATTATATTGGCTTTGTTTTTGTATTTTTTGTTTGCATGCTGTGCTGCCTTAAGCAAATTAGAGACAGTGATTTGGTATAGTTGAATTGTAATCAAAGAAGTTTGTAATTAGTTAAGTACAGCTCAGTTTAGGGTTTTCTACCCTGTAAAAGCATTGGGCAATTGCTAGTTGAAAAAGCCATTTGCTAATTGTTAGTTTTGATAAAAAAAATCATTCCACTTAATAAAAATAATTTGTTTCACCATCATTCAGTAGTTTTCACTGGGTAGTCAACTTTAACCCTTGAGGCTTCCATCACATCACGGAACCAAAGTGTAACACTTCTCTAAAAGGCAATTATGCTATGTTGTCACTTACATCTTCATTTAATTTTTGACCCTGAACCATTGTTGTTATACTTCATGGGAGGAATGATTTATTTAATTATTAATTGCTGAAATATGTGACACCAAAGGTAGGAGAGTGCACGGATTTTCACTACTGTCCCAATTAATATTAGGGATGTGACTGGACTAAAACAGACAGTGTTTGAAATCTGAACCCCACTATGAATCCAGATTTGGTAACTTAGGGGGTGTCTACACTACAAAGTTAATTTGAACTAACAGCCGTTAGTTCGAATTAACTTTCATAAGTGCTACACATGCAAACTGCTAGTTTGAACTTAATTCGAACTAGCGGAGCGCTTAATTAGAACTAGGTAAACCTCATTCCACGGGGACTAACACCTAGTTCGAATTAAGTAGTTCTAATTAAGGGCTGTGTAGCCACTTAATTCGAACTAGTGGGAGGCTAGCCCTTCCCAGCTTGCCCTAGTGGCCACTTTGGGCAATTTCATGATATTTTCATGGAGGTTAGGTCCATAAAAGGCTATTAGCCAGGGGATAAAATGGTGTCCTTGGCTTCTGTTTGTCAGAGGCTGGAGAGGGATGGCAGGAGACAAATCGCTTGACCATTGCCTTTGTCCACCCTCTCTGGGGCACCTGGTGTTGGCCACTGTCGGCAGACAGGGTACTGGGCTAGATGGACCTTTGGTCTGACCCAGTACGGCTGGTCTTATGTTCTTATGTTCCTAACTCTTCTGCCTCCCTCCCGGCCCTGGAGCCCTTAAAGGGGCATGATCTGGCTACAGTGCCCATGCTGGGTGTAAGCCTGCCAGCACCCAGCCAGCAGACCCTGCACCTGGCACGGCATGAGTCAGCCACCCGCTGCCAACCAGCCCTCCC